TGACCTTGCTAACATGCTTGTACTTGCTTGCTTGCTAGATGCAGAGAGTTGGTAAAAATTGCTTGATACCTGTGGAAGTTGTTTGTACCAAAGGAACATGTCCATGTATCAAGGTTGATAAAGTTGCAAAAAGCTTGCTTTATGAAAATGGCATTGTGAACTTTTGGCCATTTATGGAATAACCTCTTGTACAATGCTCCAAAAGCAAAGATAAAGCCCTTATCCTCTGAGTATGCATTTAATTATGGAGTGTAGAAGTAGTTTAGGACCTGTAATGCAAGGTACAAGCATCATGGATCAGATTTGCAACTTGATGCATTGTAAAAATGGCATGAACAAAAGTGATAAAATGCCATTTTCTTTTCTTCGATTCTCCCTAACCACAAATGATCTTGGAGAGTTCTTGGACATTTTGGAAAGCTTGCAACATGCTCTACAATCCATATTTGAATTGAATTTTGATATACCTCTTGTAACTAGGTGAAAAATGTCAATGAAGTTGGGTCAAAAACCTGCCTAAATTAGGGCAAATTTTCACTAAGTTATTTAGTTCATGGGCCCTTATTCACAAATTCATAACTTGAGATCCAAGCATCTTTTGGGAAAAGTTTGTGAAGAAAAGTTGTAGATTTAATAGAGGACTACAACTTTAATGTTGGAAGTTTTCTTTGAATCAAATTGCATCATGGTGAAAAAGTGGTGAAAAGTTGGGGAAAAATAAGAAAGTTTCCATACTTAGAAAAATTCTAAGTTATGAAAATTTTCAAATCCAAAACCCTAATTTGCAATTTTGAGTTTCTTGATCAACAAGTTTCACATTTTGACATATCTTGATGAATTATGACCCTTGGCACTTGATTTTGACCAAAAAGTCAAAGTTTGACTTTTTAGTGTACAATTGATTTTTGATCAGTTGACTGGAAAATTCATCTGTCAATCCAATGAACTTGAGATCTTTTGAACCATGTAATTAGGTCAAGATGATGCCATTGAGTCCTTGAAATCATGTTTGAACCCAATTGGTCATTGGCTAGGTTAAAAATCAGAAATTGCCCTTTCTCAGTCAAAACCCTAATTTTGACCATTTTGCCCTTTTGATGATTTGATCAAATTACTTGAGGAGTTGTGATCCAAACTTGATCAAATGGTACATATGAGTCTAAAATGTTGTTATGAATAAAAAATTATGAAGTTTGACTGTAAATTGGCCATGGATGACTTTTTCCCCAATACAGCTGATTTTTAGGTCAACTGTCCAATTGACTGAGCAAAAATGTGATTCAAGGCTTGAAACTTAGCATGAGAAATATTAGGGGTCCAATATGATGTATGAAAGTCACATGAAGCATTGATGGTCCAAAAGTCCTTGTGCAAACTCAAACCTTAATTTTGGGGTATCAGTGCAAGATGAGATGTCCTGAGCTGAGCAAACCCTAATCTTGTCTTGAGCCCAAGAAGTCTTGTGAGAAAAATCTTGATAAATGAGAGGGAAAATTTTGGGGTACAACACACCTGTACTGTGGTACCCCACCAGTAACATTACTTTGCTTCTATCATCCAGTTTTCGTCTTCTAGCTTCTGGAGCGTGTTTGTAGCATACAGAACCAAACACCCTCAGATGGCTAACACTTTGCTTATCTCCAGTCCACTTTTCTAAAGGAACAATTTCCTTCATCTTCTTCGTTGGACACCTATTCAGAACATATGTTAATGTGGCAATAACTTTTCCCCATAACATGTGAGGTAGCTTCTTCTCTTTTAGCATACTTCTGGACATATCAAGCAAAGTTCCGTTTCTTCTTTCAGCAAGACCATTGTGCTGAGGAGTATATGGAGAAGTAACCTCATGTTCTATTCCATTCTCCTCACAGAACTTCTGAAAATCAGTAGAGTTATACTCACCTCCACCATCCGTTCTCAAAATCTTCAACTTCTGACCACTCTGCTTCTCAGCCTTCACCTTGAACTTCTGAAACTCAGTAAACACTTCATGCTTGAACTTGATGAGCGTTACCTATGTAATTCTTGTGAACTCATCCACAAAAGACACAAAATATTTGTTTCCTCCAAGTGAAGGTACTGGAAATGTTCCACACACATCAGAATATACTACTCCCAAAGCATGCTTCGCTCTGGGGGCTACTTCTGATGCAAATGGAAATTTGGGTTGCTTGCCTTTCATGCATATCTCACATGACTTATGAGGCTTCATAATCTTCGAAATTCCATGTACAAGCTTCTTAGAACTTAGATGCCCTAAGCTTCTATAGTTCAAGTGCCCCAACCTCTTGTGCCACAACTTACTGTCATCTTCAGCGCCTTCTGCACTAAGACACTCTGCTTCAGTTGTTTCTACATTCACCTGGAATGTTCTGTTGCTTCCCTGATCAGACTTCATAATCAACTTCTGATTGGAATCATATAATGTCAAGAGGTTATCCTTCATAACAACTGATAATCCTTTCTCAATAAGCTGACCCACACTCATCAGATTGCTTTTAATTCCAGGAACATACCAAACATCTTTGATCGGAATGTTTTTTCCATTCTTCACTTTGACTCTGACATTTCCCATACCTTCTGCATTAAGATATTTATCATCAGCACATATGATTTTTGTTCTCCTTCTGGAGTCAAAGTCTATCAGCCATTATTTGTTCCCAGTCAAGATTTTTGAACAGCCAGTGTCCATATACCACTAATCTTCTGAACACTTTCCATTAGAATCAGAAGCCATCAGTAGCACAGGTTCATCATCAGAATCTCCTCTGGTTATATTTGCTTCTTCTGATTTCCTTCCTTTGTTTCTATAATCTCTGGAAAAATGGTCAAACTGTTTACAACAGTAACATTGAACCTTCTTCTTGTCATACCTTTCCTTTCCCTCCTGATATTTCTTTTCATCAGAAGTTGAGGTTTCTAACCTCTGGAATTTATCACCACGTCTATTTTGCTTCTGGTCCTTCTTGACAAAAGAAGCCTTCAGAGCTTGCTCAACTTCCCTCTCAGAAGTTCTTTTAGTCAGACGCAACTCCTGCGCTTCTAGACTGCTTTGCAACTCTTCTATTCTCATGGTTTCCAGATTTTTAGAATGTTCAATAGAAACAACAATATAATCAAACAGAGGAGTAAGAGACCTCAGAATCTTCTCTATGATTACCTATTCAGAAAGTGTTTCTCCACAAGCTTTCATCTCATTAGTGATTAGAATCATTTTGGAGATGTACTCAAAAAATTTCTCACTATTCTTCATGTTGAGATTCTCATATTGCTTTCGCAGGGACTGAAGCTTCACCTTCTTCACTGACGCGTGTAACATCTGACCAGTATATCCCATGCCTCTTTCGATATTGTCGAATCAGCAATCTTCTCAAACACACTTTCATCCACACACTGATGGATATAGAATAGAGCTTTCTGATCCCTCTTTCTCGTAGCTCTTTATGCATATCTCTGTTCTTCAGTAGCATCTGTTATAACTGGAACATAACCATTGGTAACAAGATCCAGAACATCCTGAGCACCAAACAACACACGCATCTGTATCATCCATCTGTTCCAGCTTTTGCCATCAAAGACTGGAAGTTTAGTGTTCAAACTACTACCTCCACTCATCTTAAACCTTGCAAAAATATCAGATCTCACTCAGTGTTTCCCAAATCCACATAATCAATGTGATTCTGTTCAGATTTTGTTCAAGATTCAACAGAAATCAAGAACCAAAATCAAACACACAACTCACTTTCACTCGTGTTTTCCAGAATTTCAGAAGAACCAAGTGCTTTAGATACCAATTTGTTGGTGCAAGGTGATGAAATTAAGGAAGAAGAGAGAAATAAAGATGACAGCTGCTAATGATTGAAAAGGAATTGAATTGTATTTAATGAGACCTAAGTACACCTATTTATACACAAAGATAGCAAAAGATAAGAATGCCACATAGGCCCTACAAATGGATAAAACTACAAAATATAGAAAATACTAAATTACCCCTTTAATAGATTCGAGAAAAACTAAAAGCGACATACAAGGGATGAAACGACATAGCGTAGAAATTGAAAGACGAAGGAAAATGGAAATGAGAAATGGAAAACATACGGTTTTGAAATCGTGAGGAGCGACACTGGAAAGGTAGAAGGAAATAATTGGTGACGAAGACCGCGACCACGCGACAGGGTTTGAGTGACCGCGATTTTGGAGTAACCACGCCAGTGAAGCATATGAGAGAACAATTTTGCACACGCTTGAAATGAAAATGACTGAGATATTCTTCGTCTACATAAAAAATGATTTGGTAGATGATCATGAACAACCATCTCTTATAAAGATTTGGTAGCCTGTTGGAGAAGAAGTGAAAAGGATGTAATGGTTTTAAATAATAAGTCAAATTTATTTAGGTGTTCTGCACATATGAAACGTTTACAAGGTTGTAATATTAATAATTGTATTGAAATTGTAGTTTTCAAAATGTTGAGAAATGGAAATTAATAATTATTATCCTGTAAAGAAAATTTTAAAATATACTCCCTCCGTTTCTTTTTAAGTGTCATTTTAGCATAAAGCTCTTCAACCAAGATAGTGGATTATTAGAGTTATTTTTCCTATTATACCCTCATTTATTTTCTCTTTCCAAATAAATTCAATCATACACCATCTCTCTTTTTCCAATAACTAGTTGAGAAAATAATTAATTTTATGGAAAATGTGAAGTGGAGTTATTGAGAAAGAAGAGATATAATTGACAAATGATAACATTAAAATATAAAAACGACACTTAAATAAAAATAAAAAAATTCTTCTAAAACGACACTTAAAAAGGAACCGAGGGAGTATGTAATAATTAGAGAATGTAATTACTTTAGATTCTTACAAATCCATATTTATATCAATTTTATTTGATTAATGAAGAAACTATAGTAATCTCTTTTATTAGAGTATTAAAAGTAGATATAACAACAAAAATTAAAAGCGCGTACAAAAAAATTAGTGTCGGAGCGACAATGGTCACTACTACTACTACAGTCATGAGGTGCTCTCCCGGCAACGCTTTCTTCAGAATTCTCAAACCCATTTCTCGAATTCCGAATCTTCCCAATTCTCTTCCACTCTCTTCATCATCAACACCGATCATCAAAGGTTCATCGTTTCACTCCTTTACAAACTTACATCAATTTTTGTGATGATGATGATATTGAAATGAAATGCGTAGGTGGGAGAGCATATGATGCATTGCTGTTGGATGCTGGAGGTACTCTCTTGCAGTTGACCAATCCTGTTGCAGATACTTATGCCGCTATTGGATCCAAATATGGTTACTTTCTTCACTTATCATTCTCTCTAAACTAGTTGATATCATATGGATTTACATCTGCTATTTAATAGCCGGTACCGGCTTCTGTTGTGAAGAAAATGCTATACAATTGGTTGTTTTGTTTGTCTGTTCACAAACTGTTTGTTGAATTGTATGAACCAAAGCTCATTGTGTTTTTCTATCTTGAACGGCTGTTTAACAAAGGAAATGTTAGGGGAGGTTTGTGATAACTCTTAAAATAGAGGGGCTGTGAATTACATTTGCCCTTAAATTTACGGAAGGCTAGAGTAATTTCTCTCGTACTTCAATTAATTTTAGTTTTCTTCAATTAGAATACTAAGCATAAAAATGTGAGAAGGAGTGCTATGCTATACGCTGTAAGCTCAAGTAGCATTAAAAAAAAAAGCTATAAGTCCATGAGTGAATGACCGTTACTAAACAACTCTACTTTGGTCATACAAATTTGTACTTTATAAAATCATCTGCTATAAACTAGGACTTTAGCCTTAACAAATAGAGCCTAATACATGATAAAATCAATACAATGTTCTTTGTTAATAGAATGTTTATTGTTATTCTCTCAAATATGTTGGAATTAGTGTTATCCATGGCGGAGAGCCTAAATCCCGCCATACTGGCTGCTATGTGTCGCTGTCATAGCGGATTATGGCGGACGGAAAAATCAGCAGTATCGGACCATATTTGCCACTGTGGCCAGGCCAAAAACCACCATTAATATCCGCAATGGCGCTGCCATGGCGGATATTCGATAACACTGGTTAGAATTCAAAATAAGATAAGAGAAAAGTTATATAAAAGATATGCTTATCATTTGTATGCTTATAAGGTGAGAGAGGCTCTCACTTATAACCACATTTTTAGATCATATTATATACATTGTGTGACTCTTAACTTATGTAGACATTAATAAGAGTTGTTATATGGCCACACAGCTTTATTGTTAGCATTTTCCTTCTATTATGCATTTTGAGTACCACGTTGTATTGTATTCATTTGTTATGTCTGTTTAGGTTTGACTGTGAATCCAGCTGAGATAAAACAGGGATTTAAGAGAGCATTTACTGCTCAGTGGCCTGAAAAACTACGTTACCAGGTATATGATCTACCATCAATATTTTTTCTTGTAATTTCTGCACGATTAGCGTCATTTTAAACCTGTTTACTTCTGTTGTCTTCTTTGTTCTATATAACACTGTTTCATCATCACTTTTTTCATTGAGCTATTGTATTATGAGTAATGAAACTGTAGAGATGGTGTATAGCAAATGTTTTTAATGATATAACAGTTCCTATTAGCTTGCTGTTTTCTGCAAGGGATAATAAGAGAAAAAAATTGAAAGTTTATGGTAAGTTGTAATGATTTTGTACAGTGTTGTACTAGAAAAGATTAATATGGTAGCAGGACCATAGTAGTTTCCACAAGAAAAATTTATGCTTTTACAGTTTCACCAGAACCACTTCAAAGGAATTTAACTATCATATTAATATAATACGCATAGTAACAACATGCTCAATTTCTGTGTCAATTGAAGCTTACTTTGTATTATTGTTACTCCGGTGTACATTGATGTCTCTGATTTTCCATGTTACACGTAGTTACATATTTTTCTAACCTGATACCTAATCACAAGTAATTTCTTTTCTTGTATACAGATAGCCATTTTATTGGTAAATTGCATTTATTAATTGTTATGGAAATAATATTCACTTTCTTATATTGTATTTGCCGATATTCGCAACAGGGTGATGGGAGGCCATTTTGGAAATTTGTGGTTTCTGAAGCCACTGGTTGTGGAGACGATGACTTTTTTGAGGAAGTTTATGAGGTAACATTTCCCGGCTGATCTAATTGTCATGCCCTCATTTCCAATCTATGAAGATGCACTCGGACAAAAGCTAATGTATCTTTAAAATGTTTTAATCTTTTGAAAAAGTTTATCTATACCTATTTAAAAATGATTTGAAGAAAGTTGCAACTTCTCTTTGTTTTTCATCAGCTCCATTGAAACATAACTAAAATATAATCTACTGGTTTTGAAATTGTAGTTTCTTATCTTGTTGATTCCAGAATGTTCATGTTGTTAATGCTAGTTGTCATTGCTTACTTATCTTGTTGACTGGAGTGTTTTAAGAATTGCTGAAATTATCTTCAAGCTTAAAATGAGGCACTTGTTTTTTTAAAAGCAAATGCTTGTAATAAAGTTGTTAGGGGTGGAAGGATTTGTTGGCAGCAAGAATCGAACATGGACCTTTGTCATGACACACATATAACTGAACTTCAAATATTGTTTCTCTCAGCACTATGCAAAAGGTGATGCATGGCATCTTCCAAATGGAGCTTTTGAAACAATGACTCTTCTCAAGGATGCTGGAGGTCAAAAAAATTAAATATTTCATTTTCCTAAGCTCTTTACATTGTTAAACCTGTAAATTTTCTACAGTTAAGTCCTTGCTACATTCTTTGAAGTTAGTCCTTGCTAACGTGACACAGTTAAGATGGCTGTGGTATCCAATTTCGACTCCCGCTTAAGGAAGCTATTGAAGGATCTTAACGTTTTACATCTGTGAGCATCAACCATTCCTTCAATATGATTATTCAAACTATATTTTACTTTTCGATATTTTATTGGCATCTTTGGTGAGGTGTTCATCTAAGACGGTTTGTTGAAAAACGCTTACTTTGCAGAAATCTCACGAAGTATGATGGATGTTTCTTATACATGTTTTTTAATGTTCCATTTTATGGTTTTAATGTCAGATTTGATGCTGTCATTATATCATCTGAGGTTGGATATGAAAAACCAGACCCAAGAATATTTCAAGCTGCTCTAGGTATGTGATTATTAGTATGCTGCACAAACTTCATTTGCCAAAAATATGTTAAATAGTATATGTTCTGATTCTTAACAAAATTATACTCGAGTTTGAAAACTAGCTGGAACAATCTTTGGCAAGAGCCTTTATTTAACCCATGGTTGAACTCCAGATTACCAATTGTTTGCTGTTGTGATGTTGCTAACATTAATTGTGGTAGCACTGCTTTAGTTATTTGAGTTTCATTGCCAATATTTTCCTTCTAGATCAAGTAAATGTAGAGGCTGGCAAAGCCTTACACATTGGAGATGATCTAAAGGCAGATAAACTGGGGGCCAATGCTGTAGGGATAGATTGTTGGTGAGAGCTTTTTCTTGTCTGAAATGATTATTGCTTTTTTATACATCTTATTTACTGTTCTAAACTGATATGTCAAAACAGGTTATTGGGTATTGATGTGAAGACTTTCTCTGAAATACAAACCCGCATCCTCAGTCCAGAGGCTTAATTTTTCTTATGACTGTCAATACACAACATTGTCAGATTTTTGTGTGTGCTGATCATCGTAATGTTGAGCTGACAGCTGAAAGCAATAATCAGGAGTCTATGTTGGCTTCAATATTTCATCATCACACTTTGTAAATATTTTTGACAAATTTTGTTATCTATGCCCAACATAGCACTGATTCAACTCTCTCCCTTTTATATTTTCTAAAGTGATGACAAATGTTACACAAAAATGAGGGAACCCATTCGGTAACAAGAGACATTTATGTGTTTATTGCTAAAAATATTATATCGGATAATATATGAATTGGAAATATATTTATAATTGTTTAATTTTATTAATATTTATGAAGTTTGTGATTATTTTTATTAATATTGTTTATTTTTATTAATATTTATGAAGTTTGTGATATAGTTTTTGATAATATTTTCTTTTAGATTTATGGTATAGTTTGAGAATAACCAACATTAATTCAATATCAACAATTCTCGTTGGATGGGACTAATCAATCTTTAGTATAAGGTGTTCCAACATGCACTCCAGCTCTTCAGATGATCCTCAAAAATCAAAGGGAGAACGTGGGACCCATTTCACTCCCCCCATAATTGCTTTGGATTTCTCTCTTATCCCTAAAATCCTTTGGGACAAAGTGTTGGAGCATAGGACCAATTTCATTTTGGGCAAACCAAGATCTATCTGATAAGGCTGAAAGAGGAGTCGAAAAAGTAGAAGAAGGAGAGGTTTTGCTTCAATGGCTTAATTCCAAGAAAGAGAATTCTGTTATCTATGTGAGTTTTGGTAGCATTAACAAGTTTCCAACATCTCAACTTATTGAAATTGCTCATGCATTTGAAGCTTCAACCCATGATTTCATTTGGGTGGTTCGTAAAAATAATGATGTTGGAGGTAGTAGTGATGAAGATGAAGGTTTTATGGAAGAGTTTGAGAAGAGAGTGAAAGAAAGCAATAAAGGGTATTTGATACGGGGATGGGCACCACAATTGTTGATACTTGAAAATAAAGCTATTGGGGGCATTGTGACTCATTGTGGTTGGAACACAACAATTGAGAGCATTAGTTTTGGGTTGCCTATGGTGACTTGGCCTTTGTTTTCGGAACAATATTTTCATGAGAAACTAGTGGTTGAAGTGTTGAGGATTGGTGTATCAATTGGAGTTAGAAAATGGAGAGTATGGGATGAGTTTGGGGAGGTTGTGAAAAGGGAGGATATTGGAAAGGCTATTGGTTTGGTGATGGGAATTGGAGAAGAAGCTAAGGAGATGAGATCAAGAGCCAAAGCTTTGAGTGAGGATTCAAAGAAAGCTATACTTGTTGGGGTCTCTTCTCATGCCAATTTGATACAATTCATTGAGGAGCTTGAGTCACTTAAACTTCAAAGGCTTAAGGGTGGTATATGAAGGAAATGATCTCCCTTTTTCCTTCTTTCTGTTTGTCTAAATAATAATCACATTTTAACATAAAGTAATGACTAAGAGGAAAAAAAAAGTGTAATGTTGTTAAAATGTATTTTAGCTAGATTAATTGAATACATGTTTTTTTCTTCTTTTGAAATAAGTGATTGAATTCAAATCCTGCGGTATACTAGAAGTATATCTCTACAAGAAATCAATGAATCTGCAAAGTGATCTTGTCAAGTCTTATTCATCTTACAAATTAAAGTAGTTGTGGGTAATATTCACTCCACAAACCAAAAAATATTTTAAAAAAACATATTTATTTTTTCACCACGTAATTATTTCAAATTTTTTGAAAAGTAAGTTGATAGGTGAATAACACTCTGCAACA